ATTCGTTACTTTTATTTAAAACCAGAAGAAGGCGCGGCTATAGGATTACCGACGTTTTTCCTTTCTTCACCGTTTTTACTTTTTGTTCTGAATAAAAAAACGTGGATAAATGAGAGAATATATAAGTAATTCAAGAAAGTGATGATTTAACTAAGCCTAAGCCTAGGAAGGCACTTTGCTGATTAGCCCACATATCATTTTCAGTTATAATTGCTTCATGACTTTGCTTTTTGTGGTTTATATATCGTAATCCAACAATATTTGTTTATTGACATTTTATAAGATACGTATTATATGACGTATAGAGTTACATCACAGACACTATTATGTGTTTTTTTAGTTGACTTAAAAAATCAATGAGTAATGGTATAAAAAGTCCCATTTGAAATTTTAAATTCAACTATTTTATTTTGACACCAAAAAGTTTAGGTGAGTTTATTTGATGGGATAAAAACTGAGAATAAAGATAGGGTTTTGGATTTTTGATTTTGAAATATATTTTTCCCATTTTCATATGCTTACGCAATTACATTTGTTGATTATGTGCAACTTACAAAGATTTTAAATTTGAACTATTTCTAGTTCGAGATGATTTAAACTTATTTTTATCCTTAGTCCAAAAAAAATATAAAGTTTAAGGTAAAACTTTTTGAAATTGAATAATACTCCCTCCGCTTTAAATTATAAGATGTTTTAGAAATTTTTTTCAGTTTAAAATTAGATAATGTTTTTATTTTTTTTCCGATTCAAATCGAAAATACTAAATGTAAATATATTATATGGTCTATAACTTTTGCGCATGAAATACCAAAATAATTAACTTTTGACTATAGAGTATAAAGTTGGTAATTAGCTTTTATAAAAAAGTCATTTGAAAGAAAAACTCCTGTTATTATAGATTACAAAATTTTGTGAGTTTACTAATTGCCATGTTTTTTTAATGCAATTTCCTCAAAATTATAAAAAGGACCACTTGAATTTGTTTTTAATTGACAACTACTCTAGAGTCAATAGTGGGCCATCTGACTTCGATCTCGCGACTTCTCAACTGGGCCTCCAATTAATTATGTGATGTTTTTATGCGCTAGTGTAATGTTTTTTTTTTTTTTTTTTTTTTAGTGTAATGTTTTTACATTTCACTTTTTAGACAATTTGTTGTTGTTGTAACACATCCTTAGTGTACATGGAAAGGGTTAAAGATAAGAATTGTTGTTTTGAGTCAATAATGTTTAAGAAAGTAAAAGAAAAAACCTTTTTTTATGGGACGGAAGAAATAACGAACATCGGCCATTATATTGTAAACAATGCATGCCGACAATGGACCAAACACACAGTGAATATAAATTCCTTGACTAGCGTGAAACCTAATAGAATTGAATTGACCCATCTAACACGTAACTATCAAATGTTGCACCATCAATCTCTTTTCTATCCATTTACATATTAGATCCAGTTTTACTCTCATATAACTTATCAAGTTAGACGTATATATGATTATTTGCTTTCATTAGTTTTTTTTCTGCAAGTTGCGAATTTTATTAGTACGTTTCTTAACATCGACAATATACAACATCAAGAGTGTAAATATATATGCATGTAATCAGTGTTAGATCTATAAACTATAAGGGTCAAAACTATTTTGTTGACTATATATTAAATTTATCAAATATCTAATATATTATACCATTAAATTAAATATTCACGAATATGAATGTAACAACATAAAAAAAAAAATAGAAAGGCAGACGTCTAAGAAGTAAAAATTAAATGAAAGAGGTCAAATGAAAATTTCGAACATATAAGTAGGGTCAACAAAATATGAGTAATATTCTAAGTATAATGTAAAGATTAAATGAAAGAGGTCAAATGAAATTTTTGGAACATAAGTAGGGACAATAATTCACACAACACAACAAACAAAGGAAAAGTGCAATAGCTTTTCCTCAAAAAAATTTGCAACAGGCTTGGGCGAAATTTCTATTTTCGATGGAGTAGTCGTTGAATGTCTGAAACTTTCCACGTTAAAATACCTTGAAACACTGACTCATATGTAGAGTAAAACGGGAAAACGGTAAATTAAAAACCTCGACAACGGCTATATAGCCTATGTTCATATCTAAAATTGCAAGAAAAGCACAATACTGTTATCAATAATAAAATAAAAAACGTTTTTGTCGCTTATTGATTTGTACTTATTTTCATCGCTATGTTAATATGCTAAAAAAAAAATTTCAATAATATGTTTTTGTGAAATTTGTATATGAATGTGGTTGAGGAAAATGAGTTGTCGGACATATAAATTGACAAACAAGTCCAATCGCTCGCAATGATAATGTTGATGTAACCCATAGAATCTCGCGTGTCGGCTCCACCACTTTTTATATTTAAGCTCATTTATTTGCATGCTGGCTCAAGTTTTCATCACTCATCTCGAAAAAATATCATTCCAAATAGATCTCTGAAAACGAATTGTTTTTTTTTTTTTAATAATTCGACGCGACTTTTACAATATTCCGGCGCAGAAAATTCAAATTCTTTGTTTTTGTAAAACCTTAATTAACGAAGAAAAATATATAATCTTGTTACATTGTATCAAGGGAAACTGTGACACTCAAATTAAGATGATTTTAAAGTATTGGCTCACCAACAAAATATGATTTGACTAAATTCTTTATAATAGAATTGACCAGACATGGAGGAACAAGAACCAAATGAACAAATCAAAGCATTTTTCTGAGCATAAATTCTAAACAAAATTTAGAGTTTGCACTTTGCAGTTATATTTACCCATGATTTTTATTTTCAACTAGTCTTTTTTGTCGGCTTAACCTACGATTTGATTTGTTTTGTTTGGGAAAAAAAAACCCACGATTTGATTTCATCAATCTAATCATATTAAGTATCCATTAATTAGAGACTTAAGGTCGGTCAATATACCATTATCACGTCCTTAGAAACTAAAATTAGCACTGGTTATTTAGTATAAACGGAATCTCACAAATATGCGTTTCTTGTCATACGTATTATCGTATAATAATTACCACAACAATGCCAAATTTCGAACTAATTAAAATGTATTTAGCTGCAATCTATTAATTGACATATATAGAGTAGGAGAATGAGCACAACAATGCCAAATTTAATTAGTATTCAAGTTTGATGCATTTGGCATAAACGATCAATGTGAACTAGAAAAATGAAAAGAAATGAGAAAGTGACCCACATACATCGGAAACGTGCCTTGGGCATAAGGAGGATACTTGGTTCATTAATATACACAGATTGGGAAAAGCCACATCACACATGCTCTCTATATAGACCAATCTTAATAATATGTATATATATATTATATCTTGGCCGCATACGTTGTAGTCTATACACGAAATATCCATTGAAAACATGAATGTGATATGTCCTCGTTCTTGAGGCTCTTCTTACTATAAAGTTTTATTGCATTTTTTTTTTTTTTTTTTTTAACTATTTTTCGATTTGTGTGTATCATCTTTGCGTATACAATTCTCTCTACAACTTTTCGATTTCATTATTATTATATCGCGTATACAATTATCTCCAAAGTGACTTATTACAATCGTAAGAAACTACTCGTAATCGTAGTGTGTGCATGATCATTAAATTTAATATTTGTAATAACACGATGACATGATGTAAAAGACACCATGACATTTTGAAACATATATATATATATATATATATAAATTGAAGTTTATATACATGGTAACAGAAAATCTACAAGATAATATTTGAGTGGCTAGATTGTAAACTCTTGGCAGTTTTAAAATTCAGTGATTCCCCTACTTGTACGGTGCGCGACGTGACGAGTGAACGTCTAGTTACTATCATTCTACGAAAAAGGACGTTTCTTACTATTGTTAAACTTCACCAGATATACAACTTCTCTTGTGGGTTGATCTGCGAAACCTCCTTTACCGGGAAAACTGTACCGATGGATCCTTTAATATGTGGTCTTTAACTCTTGATGTTAATATATGCAGAGAATCTTATTTCTTGAGTGTAAATATGTTTAATGTAATGCAACAAAGGTTCTTGTGATAATTGATTCAGTTTTCACTAAACTTTCATTTGTTGGTTCAATTTCATTTTGTGATAATTGACGCAAGTGAATGAAAATATGGAGGTGGTATCTGGTCTCGAATTGGTCCAACAAATGATAGACACAAAAAATAGAAAAGGAAAAACAAAGCATGTGATGGTTAGAATAAGATCCAACCGAATAACCGTTACCCTGAAACCTTGTCGGTTCATACGTGGTGACTTCCTTAAGCACATGCATATTTTTTCCCCCGAGTTTTCTCGATGCAAATATTTGCATTAAACAATGCCCATTTTTGTTTTTGTTTTCGCTTTTTTTTTGTTAATGTCCATTGTTGGTTTCCTATTTAAAAACCCATTTATTCTTGGTACTTGTGCAATAAATAGATCACGAGCAGTCAAATGATTTAGCTTCTGCTTCTTCTGGAAGAAACTTCTCTGAAATGTTCGAGACCACGTGCCTGCCTACAAACAGAGTGTAACAGAAAACTAACCAAATAATGATCTGATTTTGCCTCAAAACCCATTATTGAATCCTAAAATTCTCTATTCATTAATCTCATATTTTAATAATATGAACTTCCCTCGCGACGTTGTTCCCTCTTAGAGCAGAACAGAGCATGCACAGGTTTGCTTACAGAAAAAAACTTAATACTAAGATCCAGTCTGAAACATTCTATGAGCGGTTTTTTTCATTTAAATAGTTTACTTGCTGAACAAAAGGAATAGAAAACTGCGAAACATGTTTTTTTTTCTTGTTTGTACATACGAAAACATTTTAGAACAGACCTAACTTTTTGCATCATATATCACTGAATTTATTTCTTGCCAAAGAAGTAAGCAGAAGGTGAAAGTTTGAGTGTCGATCTCGTATGACACTGTTTTAGTTTAGAGATGTGTTATAGCAAACTCAACAATCTTGAAACGGCCATGGAGATCAAAGAGAGATTGAGAAGTACCAATGTAAGGGGGACCTTAGAAGTCGAATGCAAAACAATCTTGTAGCCATAATTAAATGTTGTTGTGTGTCGCTACTTGTAATACATAAACAAAGCAAATTGTGTTAAGAACATGATTGTTGCAGACCAAGCTAATTATAGCCTCTTAACACTCCAATAACGACCTCACCTTATTTCAAACCCTAATCCCTCCTACTCAATAGATAGATGTAACAATATAATCTTCCTGGATCGGAATTTTGAAAACGTGTTGTATCGGAATAGACATATATGTTCTTTATCGGATTAGTATCCAACAGTGCTCAAGTCTCTGCAGTTTCTTCTTTCCTCATAGCTTTCAGTCTTTCTTGAAGTTTCTTGCTTTGTTCGAAATTTACCTTCCGCTTCACAGCTTTCTGCAAAAATATTGTAAGATATAGCTCCAAGACAAATGTAATCAAACCCTCCAAAAAAAAGAGAAAAGTTGGAGCTGAAACGCACTTCTTTTGGCTATTATTACTAACTAACCTCTTGGCGGAAACATCGATCAAGCTTTACTTTCAGCTCTGTACACTCCCCGAAGAATTTTCCAAGCGGATGCTCTGAATGACACTTTTGGAATTCCTCAATTATCTGGAAAACATGCGACATACAGAAGAGTTCGTAAGACTAACTAAGGAGATCGAATGGCAAAAGATCTGTTCTCTTGCCAAATGCAGTTATGTAGCTTGACTCCACTCATATGTTTATCAAAGCTACAAATATGAGTTATCACCAACATTGCATATGTTTATCAAAAGTTCTCATCTCCTTTGATTCAGCTCTAATGCAATTGATACACAAGCTAGTATAATCTTAAAGAACCGAGGTTAAAACTAACACAATAGAGACACTACAACGAGCAACACTTTCAGAAACCAAGCAAATCTACGAAGTGAGAGAACAAATGCCATAAACTCACCTCCAGACACATTGGATGTCTATGTGGTGTAAGTGGAGGATGCATCTTTTGCTTCTGTAAGAAAATAGAAAGAAACACACACACATAACTATGAACCGTTTCGAAAGCAACGGTAAAAATCAGATCTTTCACCTCTCTGCTAAAAACCCAGAAGTAAATAACAGCAGAAACCGAGCAAGACCCCAATTTTACAAATCCTGATTTTGGAGTAGCAAGAGAAAATGGAAGATTTGATTTGAAACCAAGACAACGTTTTTTTTTTACTCAGAAATCAACCATTTTGCTTAAAACGATTCTGAAATTTCTAATCTCAAAAAGCGTCACGAGTTCGAAGATCAGGTGATTCAATTCCCCAATATAACAAGACATGAGAGAACCACAGGAATTAAATAACACATCGGCTTGAAATGAAGGCGAGCACGTAATCGAAGAAGAGTCACGAAGAACGAAAAAAGTTAATAAACAAAATACCTTGATTTGGTATCTATCACCCCACTTGATAGAGAGAATTCGAGCTAACAGACCTCAGAAGCACTCAAATGGGGAAAGAGCGAGAATCGTTGAGTCAATGAAAATTATGAGAATAGAGCCGGGTCAATTTTTTCATGTTAATGGGCCTTATTTTACTTTCGGTTAATGGGCCTCATTTTACTTTTCTTTTAATGGGCCTCATTATATTATGAGAAACGCAACATTTCGTCATGTTTAGGATGAGAAAAATCAGACATCAGAGGGGGAACTTGGAGAGAACAGAGAGAAGCGCAATTATCTCCGAGAGAGAAGAAGAAGAATCATCTTAGCTTTTTGATTAACAGTGAAGAATCCACAGGTTAGTTGAACACTTCTTGATTCGATTCCGGAGAAAACGTACCCAATTTCAGCTTATACAACGTTTGATTCACTACATATGGTTGATTTTCACTTACATGAAAGTTCTGGTATTTTCAATATGTTATATGAAAACAGTGTTTATGAATTCTGAGCTAAAATAGGGAATAAAGCTTAATAATTAATGGGTTCTTCGTCTTCTATGAATTGCTTTCTCAGGATGCTTAGCTTGAGATATTCACTACCTTATCTTCCTCAAACAAAGGATTCAACTAAGCTCTTCTCCAAGAGGCCTAACAATGTTGTGGTTCGTAGTTTTTTTTTTTTTCCCTTTTGTATGTTTTTAATATTTATGTTCTCAGCTTCTTTTTGTCAAACATTTTCTCAGTCACTTAGTGTCGAATTTCAATGAATCTTCAGGTTTGTGCAGCGAGAGGTCCAAGACCTCGATCTCCTCGAGTATGGAAGACAAGGAAGCGAATCGGAAGTATCTCCAAGGCTGCCAAAATGATTTCTTGTGTAAATAATACTCTCTTATAATCCGTTTTTAAAGATCCTTACACTAATTGTTCAAACAGCTGTTACTGAGCTTGATGAGTCTTGTTATCTGCAGATAAAAGAACTGTCGAATGTTAAAGAAGAGGTTTATGGAGCGCTTGATTCCTTCATTGCCTGGGATTTAGAGTTCCCTCTTGTTATTGTTAAGAAGGCATTAGCTATTCTTGAAGATGAAAGAGAATGGAAGAAGATTATTCAGGTATTTTCACAAAGCAAGAGAAAGTTTTTTTTTTTCTTTTGTTCTTGTAACTTTTTAAGCTAGGTGACGAAAAGAAAGGTTTTTCGATTTTTAATAGGTGACGAAGTGGATGCTGAGCAAAGGCCAAGGAAGAACAATGGGAACGTACTTCTCATTACTAAATGCTTTAGCAGAAGATAATCGGCTTGACGAAGCTGAGGAACTGTGGAACAAATTGTTCATGGAGAATCTAGAAGGAACTCCAAGAAAGTTCTTCAACAAAATGATCTCTATATATTACAAGAGAGATATGCACCACAAACTCTTTGAGGTAAAGTAAAACTGTATAAGGCCGTTTTTACTTTAATATTTGCAACCAGCAGAGATGTTCTGTGGAACTATTGAAATAGCAAGTCTTGTTTTTTTTTTATCAGGTGTTTGCTGACATGGAGGAGCTTGGAGTGAAACCGAACATTGCGATTGTGTCAATGGTTGGAAAAGTGTTTATGAAACTTGGGATGAAGGATAAGTACGAGAAGCTCATGAAGAAGTATCCTCCACCACAGTGGGAGTTCAGATACATCAAAGGAAGACGCGTTAAGGTCAAGGCGAAGCAGCTTAATGAGCTAAGCGAAGGTGAAGGCGGCTTAAGCAGCGATGAAGACAAGACTGATAGTGAGACTGAGAGCAAATCTGAAATGTTGTCAGATGAGGAAGCAAACCAAGATGGTGAGGATCTCAGTGAAGAGGAAGAAGAAGAAGAAAATGAACGTTTTGGTGGCAATCAAGGACAGATTGGAACATCTAGAGAACCTTGTCTTGATCATTTGGACTCTTCTTGACTTAGAACGTGTTTGCTTCATGAGCTTCTGAGATCGTTAATACCGTTGGATGATGTAAGGAAAAAAGAGCGACAGGCAAAGTTCTTCAAAGAAGCTTTGGGTTTTTGACGAAAACATGACCAAAAAAGTTGTGAACTTTTTGAGGTTAAAGAGCTTAAAAATGTTAAAACAAGACATAAATTGCAAAGTCAACTGCTGTCAAATGTCAAAACCATGAAAAAGATTACGAAATTCAGCAAAGATTGTAAAAGGTAAACTCTTTGAAGTATCTGTGTAAGTTTTGAGGACAAAAACTGTATTATATTTCAGATCAAAGTTTAACTCTTTATGTTTTGTCACTCTTCATCTGATTCCGACTCTTCAGAACTCGATCCCTTCTTGTTTACTTTCTTCTTGGATCCTCTCTTCTTATCCTCCTCGTCCTCACTGTATTCACTTTCGTAATCCTCCTCTTCAATCTCATCCTCATCTTCTTCCTCCATACCTTCTTCTGCATTCTCACCCTCCACATCACGGGTTCTTTTCAAGATCTCAACTTTCAGTGACGTCTTCTGGTCACAACCGATCCAAGAATCGCTTAGGCAGAAGCAGGTCAAGTTATAAGTACCTTCTTCAGGTGCCAAGAGTTTCCCCATCACCAATCTTGACCCACTTTTAACCTTCTCAACAGCTTCTCTAACTGCATTGTTCTTGTCCTCGACGCTTGCTCCTAAACTCTCCATTGTCTCACTAATAGCATTCGATGCAGCGGCTATAGCTCCAGCTTCGTCCATGAAACTAACCTTCTGAAACAACCAGACATTGTTTGAATCCGCAAGAAGAACCCAAAAGCTTTCCTCTTTGTGGAAAGTGAAGTGAGGCGAGTGAGGAACAGCGCCTATGAGTCCATTGGGACGTTTCAGAGTGATCCAAGCTTCGACAGTCGTAACGTCGCCTTCTTGAATACCTTCTTCGCCTTCTGTTTTGCAAGTGACGTCGATTTTCAGAGACGGTATCATTTCCAACACCTTCTCGATGTCTACAACATCGGTTTCCGACAAACCAGCAGCCTCCCTGAGCAGTTTAGAACGCTCTTCCGAGCTCAGTTCTTGAAACTCTCGGAATGATTTAGCCTGCAACGCTAAATTTTTAGCGATAGCGTCATTGACATGAGGGAGTTGCAAGAAAGGAGCAATGCCTTCTGAAGATGACTTCCTCGTACTAAGAGGAACAGCCTGCAATCAAAACAACAACATTAGCTAAGCTGAAAGAATTGTAATGTCTTGAGCAAAAGTAAAGTTGGAAAAATCTTAATACCTGTACAATGCATTGAGATATCTCCATAACTCCAAGTGCAGGACTTAACCATCCACGTCCTTGTTCATTACGGGGTATAATCGCCATCTGCAACAAACTCACAGTATCATAAGGTTTATGCTTAAGCACAAAGTCGTTTCTTATGTACATCATCAACTTATTGTTTATCAGATCAAAGTGCTAAGCAAAAGTTAGAGAATATTATATAAGACCTTCATTAAATCTTCAAGGAGACGCGGTGCAAACTCTAGCACGCGCATGAAATCACGTTGCAGAGTCTGAGACAGAGCTGCTGATTCACGAGTTAACTGTTTCTGTATCAAAAGCACAGTCTGTAACAGAAACCAAAAGGGAAAAAAGTTAGTTTTTTTCAAATTCTATTCAATACTTTGCGTTACGAATGTGTTTAAAGACAATCAACCTTGACAATTGCAGGATCCTGTTTCCAAAACTTAGCTTCATCTTGCTTCATCTTCTTAGGATCCAGATTTAGCTCGCTTTTGACAGAAGTAAAGAGATTCTTCAGAGATTCATCATCGGATTTACGAACTGGGATCTCTACGTACTCAGCTGCTTTGACGAAAACTTCCATAACTTTGCTCGTAGTTAAAGATGGTTGCATTAACTCGAAATAAGCTTGACGAGTTTGAAGCTTAACGTGGTTCCCAGTATACTTTGATGATCTCCATAGATAGATCGAGGCGATCACAAGAGGCAAGAGAATACATAAACAAACTGTACACATCAACAATACACCACCAGAATCTCCATTCATGTCTAAAATAAACTGAGGAAGAGCAATTCCCAGTTTATAACCCTGCATCAATCATATTTACAAAAAAGTCTCAGTTTTTCAAACAAAGGTTGTTGTTTCATTTGAAGGAAACAAAACGTATATAAACAGTCAAGGCCTACATCGTTATTACCTGTCTTCCATCTGGATGACCGTACTTTTCAAAGTTTTCACGGGATAATGGATCAGTAAGAGCTTGGTAAGCTTTAGCTATGGACTCCACAAAATATTTGTGTGCCTCTGTACATTTTACAATACACAAATGAGCAATGATGCAGCTTAGGACAAAATCTGTAGTGAACCAAAAGAGAAGGATAATAAACTCAATTTTGGACCTGGATCCGGATTTTTATCAGGATGGTACTGCATAGAGAGTTTTCTATATGCTTTCTTGATCTGTGAATCAGAAGCACTAGGTTCCAATCCAAGTATACCGAATGGTTCAAAGAGTTGACTCTGTAATATTAAACCCAAGAATATGCATTAAGCACAAGCAATCTCGGATTAAGATTGATTTGCTTGAAGAGAGAATTACCTCACGGCTAATGTTCTGAGTGTAATCAATCAAGAAGATCATTACAAACCAGAGAAGCACAACCGTCAAGTTGCTACATGAAGTAAAGCTCGAGATCTGCTCAAGACAAGATTTAATTAGTTAAAAGAGGTTTATTGATCATCTTAATTCACAAGTTAAAGGGAGGGATGAAGATAATAAAAACTGACCCTTTGAGAAATAGTTCTCTTGTACTTCCCTGAACGTTCACACTCAAGACATTGACAATGTATGCTTCTTTGTTTCTTCGAAAAAACGCGGCTTAGCTTCAAGAATGTATAAGGCACCAATGGAATTGCGATTATCGTCAGAATGAAAATGGGAAACAACGCTCCATTATCTTCTGGTTCTGCCATCTTCGTTACCTTCTAGTTGTAAAGATCCTTTTAGATCAGAGAATCTGCAGGTAAAAGACTCTGTTTTTATAATCTGTTGACATCTCAGGAATAGAGAGACAGGGCCAAAATATTGGAATTGGAATCAATCAACGTATCATTTGCTTTCAATCTGGTAATGTTATAACAATTTGTGTATATTTCAACAAGATTTTCCATTTAGAAAATGATTATCAGCCATTGAGAATAAGTTTCCTGATGATCACAACTTATGTTCTGCTTGCTTCACCAGATTTTGTTTATACTTTGAATTTTCTGGACCAACATGATCATTCAGAAGTCTAATTTGATTTATAAAAAAACGATTTTGAAATCATATCCACAAAATATGAAGGAGATCAACTGATCAAGAGTACACATGTGCATAATTCCCAGATTTGTTTCTCTATATTACTAAGAACAACCCGAAAACGTACGGATGAAATGACAGAAAATAAAAGGATTCGATTGCATTGCATGCCAGGAAAACTGTATTATTGAAAGAAAAAAAAGAAGAGTAAGGAAGTTACCTCAATCGAGTTTCGGTAACTGAGAAAGATAATAAAAATGTCGACTTTTAGAATCGAATTGCGAAACTGAAGAAGACGAAGAGGAAGTGAGGTTTATCAATGGGGGAAGTCTAGGAGGAGATGATGAATCACTACCAATTGAGATTCGACACGTGGCAATGATTAGGGGCACTATACGCAGCGTTTTTGACCATCGTTTAAGGAAATTGAGTAATGACATTGATTGTGTTAAAGACCAAAGATCCGAAGATAAATGTCTCTGTATTTGCTGCAATCGTCTTTATCTTTTTACCCGGATTAATCTTTTTATGTATCGGCGTTAAAAGTTTTGTCCTTTGTCACTCTTAGTGAGTGTGGTCTCTCTTGACCAACTTCCTTAAACCCTTGAGGAAGATGAAAGACTAGTGTTTTACAAAATCCTAGCAAATGTAAGAGCTGAGCAACTAAATGGTTCTTCTCCGCACACGTGTTGGATTCATCATCAAACGATTCTCGACCTCGGCGACACCATCGACATCCTCCGCTTCCGATTGGAAAACCCAGCTGACACTATTCCGATCAGCCACCGAAATCGCTTCGATAATCTTACAACGTCGCGACTGGATCACTCATCTCCGATATGTTAAATCAAAGCTCCCAAATTCAACACTTACGCCGCCGATTTTCCTCCAGATCATCCATGAAACTCGAAAGTCTCCTGAAACCACTCTTGATTTCTTCGATTGGGCCAAAACCCATCTCCGGTTCGAGCCGGATCTTAAATCCCGTTGCCGAGTAATCGAAGTGGCTACCGAATCAGGTCTCTTGGACCGAGCTGAAGCCCTCTTGCGTCCTCTGGTTGAAACCCATTCCGTGTCTGTGATCGTCGCGTCGATGCATCGGTGGTTTGAAGGTGAAGCTTCACTCTCTGTCTCAGTTAGCTTAGTTCTTGAGTGTTATGCTTCAAAGGGTAGTTACCAAAACGGCTTGGAAGTGTTTGGTTCGATGAGAAGATTGAGACTTTCGCCTTCACTTCGCGCTTACAACTCTCTTCTTGATTCTCTGGTTAAAGAGGATCAGTTTAGAGTGGCTTTGTGTTTGTACAGTGCCATGGTTCGAGACCGGGTTGTCTCCGATGGGCTAACTTGGGATTTGGTTGCTCAGGTTTTGTGCCAACACGGAAAATCCAAGAGTGTTGTTAAATTGATGGAAACAGGTGTTGAAAGCTGCAAGATTTACACCAATCTTGTGGAATGTTATAGCAGAAACGGGGAATTCGATGAGGTGTTTCGTGTAATTCATGAGATGGATGACAAGAAACTAGAGCTGAGTTTCTGTTCTTACGGTTGCGTATTGGATGATGCATGTAGATTAGGAGATGCTGAGTTGATCGATAAGGTTCTTGGTTTGATGGTAAAGAAAAAGCTTCTTACTTTAGATGATTCGGCTATGAATGATCAGATAATCGAAACGCTCTGCGATATGGGGAAAACGTTTGCCTCTGAGATGCTTTTCCACAGAGCTTGTGATGGTGGAACAGTGCGTGATCAGACATACGGTTGTATGTTGAAAGCTCTGTCTAGAAAAGAGAGAACAAAAGAAGCTGTTGCTGTATATCGGTTGATTTGCCGGAAAGGTATCACGGTACTTGATGAGAGCTGTTACAAAGAATTCTCAAATGCTCTTTGCAGAGATGATGATAGGTCAGAGGAAGAAGAGGAACTCCTTGTGGATGTTATAAAGCGCGGTTTTGTTCCTTGTACAGACAAGTTATCAGAAGTTTTAGCATCGTTGTGTCGGAAAATAAGATGGGATCACGCAGAGAAGCTTCTTGATTCGGTTATGGAAATGGAGGTCTACTTCGATTCCTTTTCTTGCGGGTTATTGATGGAGCGTTATTGCAGAAGCGGGAAGTTAGAGAAAGCGATGGCACTACATGAAAAGATAAAGAAGATGAAAGGAAGTTTGGACGCGAACGCTTATAACGCGGTTCTTGATCGGCTTATGGTGAGGCAAAGAACTATGGTGGAAGAAGCTGTTGGGGTGTTTGAGTACATGAAAGAGATGAAATCAATGAACAGCAAGAGTTTCACGATCATGATTCACGGGCTGTGTCGTGTGAAGGAGATGAAGAAAGCAATGAGATATCATGATGAGATGTTGAAATTGGGGCTGAAACCTGATTTAGTAACCTATAAGCGTCTTATCTCCTGTTTCAAATGAAAGTTTTGGATCAAAACATATACTTGCTTTGAGGAGTTATACAAATGGTCTAATATGTAAAGGAGCATTACAACAAAACACCAAAGAGAGTTTTCAAGATTGAAGTTTTCAAAATTTCTCAAACAAGAACATAAGGGGGATAAAGTTTAAAACTTAATATGAATGAATACAATAATGAGAGATAAATATATATATATCATTGAGCCTATAACAGTTTGTAACTTTATTGATCAAGAGGCAGCCACTCCATTTCTAATTCTACTTCACCAGATTCAACATTCTGGAGCTTGAGTTGAACCTCTTGTTTCACTTTCCCATCTGCAATGTTGATGATGCTATCCTCTATAAGTGCATTGTCGTGCGACTTCAGCCATTTCCCAATCTGCATATCTCCAAACATCTCAGGGTCTCCAAAAGCCATTGCAGATGTAATCAGAGGTTGGATATCAATCCCAGCTTCTCCCATTATGTCATCAGCAGAGAATGTATCATAATCAAACACTTGCTGCAAATTGGCAGAAGAAAAAAAACCACTTATTAAAGATTCATCAAAAGTAGAAACTGATTCTGATGTTTTAGTCTCAAGATTTTACCAACTTCACTGAGCCATAGTTATGAGGTACAGAGAGCATGAGTTCCTCGTTCCAGACCGGGTTTAAGTTGCTCTTTACTACAGTTGATTGTGCAGTCTGTAATAATATGATGAAAAAAGATCAGCAAATGAAATAACCATGGTACATAATATAAAGACGAACATTTCAAGAATCCAAAGTGTATTCACTTAAATTTACCTGTTGTCCTAGAGTCAACACAACATAAGGGTCGCTTGTCATCATATCTCGGATGGCTAAATTGGTACCCTTTTTAAGAGTCACCTTCAACAATCCAATAAACTCAACCATGCCTTCAGGTTGCTGTCATTGTTTTTAGTTTTTTTCAAAAAACGAGACGAAATGTGTTAAAACACCATGAATCAATCACAAGACTAAGCAATTTACAAGTTTCATAGAGAGAGGTTACTCTATATTCGATTCTAAACAGAAGCTTTACCGGCTGTTGCGATGATGAGTTCGTGCGAAAGCTATCGATAATTTTTTTAGATACAGTTGATGAAAGATATTCTGGACTCTTTGTACTAGAGCCCCTCACGGATGTGATCCTCAAGCTTGGTTTCAAAAACTCTTGGAGCTCATATTTTGACCTGTAAATTAAGATTTGAGGATATGAATATTCCCACTAAATGATAAATCAGATTTGATATAAACAATATTTATCAGATTTATTCACAAGCAGCCTACCTAATAAACCTCATACGCTGGTCGTGAGTAGCATCAGGTCCAGGCTTAGAGCAACCGTCAGGTATAAATGCCTCGTAAATTGAATTCGCAGAGGCATTTCCTCCTATTTCAATCATGGAATCGACTTCTTCGTCCGACCATTCATCCAATGTCACAGATAAGACCTGCAAAAATACTCCAAACTATAGATAAACTTGCAAAACTGACATATGAATAGTAGTAAAGCAATATGATTATTCAAGAGGAAACTCAATTAGAAAATGAAAATAACATTTCCACAAGAGCATTTGTAAGCATGTCAGTGCACCTTTGAGATATGAGTGCCAAGGCTTCTGTGCACACCGCAACATTTTAAGCATATAAACACTCCGATGTTTGCTGACCTGTAATAACCCAATGACTGATTAAGTAACCAAAATTTACAAACACAAAATACAGAAGAAAGAAAATTAATGTGATATGGTACTGAGAGAAAGGTATCAACTTTGACATCTTCAAATAATGGAATGAGAAACGATTATTGCAAACTAAACTGCTAGAGAAGAAAACCAGATAAAATTTACTGGAAGAAAGCATTATGGTGAAGCATAACTTACGCCCACTTAGGATCTGGAGCACCACAATCAGCGCAGACTCGGTTATCAGATTGAGTTAAAAGATCCCTTATTCTCCTTTTACCTGTGAAGCAACAAGTTGAATCAGTCACAATCAATCCAAAACCATACAAGAGTTCTCTCACACCACAAATCTTTTTATGAACTCTCCAGCTAATACTACATACATGATTACATTTAATAGTCCATCCACGCAATGAACACACACAAACTCATTTTCTATAAAGAAAATGTGAAGAAAAGAATACAGCAATACCTGAGCCAGGCTTTCCGAGTCCGGCTGCAGAATAACTCATTGCTCTTTTAAAAAGCTATCAATCATCAAACACAATCCTACACAGAACAAACAAATAAATAAATACCCATCACGCACAAACTGATTAGAATAAGAAAAGGTTCATGCTTTTCTCTTAAAGAATTTACAGCTCTACGAGATCAGACTCTGCTTTGCAAATTTCAAAACAAACTAACATTTTTGGGGAAACCACGAACCGTAGAATCACCAAGAACATATCGTTTTCAATAATAGACACAGAAAGGGATAAACCCAAATGTAGATCATCCGTGTCCATTTCACGAACCAGAGATTCAAATGAAACGAAATCAGATTTTTGTTTTGAAAATCCGAATTTTCTTATAACTTTAACCATTCCTGAAACTAATCCAACGACGAAATCACGAACAACGAGAAAAGGTTCGCTTACAAAGAATGAAATTCCAACTTGATGATGCAGCAGAAATTCGATGAAGAAAGATGAGAAATTTATGCAAGAAAAATAAACCATGTACGGAATTGGAACAAGGAGATATAGATTTGGATTGAACGTTCTCACCAATGAGAGGAGAGAGAGAGAGAGATATGTTCTTACACAAACTTTTCAGACGAACGAATAATTATCTTCAGATTGACAACTACGTGCTCGACTTTTTATTTTTGTTTTTTTTTATTCCCCATTTCTCAATTAACTGTAAAGTTGAGTAAGTTGTAACGATGCATGTTATAAAGTACTGGTAAAATTCCAAATATATTTCCTCGTCGTTGTCGTTGACTAGTTTCTGGTTTCTTTTTATTAGGGATGGGCAAAATATCCGTTATATCCGTTTCGAACCGATATTTGCTTCGATCTGATTCAAAAAATCCGGATATCCATAAAGCTTCGAAGCATAAAATGTAGTATTCGTACAAAACGAAGCAAATCACAAATATGTTTTTAGATAACGCCGGATATCCGATTCGATCTGTATCTTTATAAATTTATTATATATTACCATGTATATATCAATTATATTATAAATTTTTATTAATATATTCTCAATTTTCTTCCTAAATTTTCAATTATTCTTTTGATTATATAAAATAAATGACTAAATAACCAATTTAAAAAAATAAATAATATGTTTAAACTTAAAATATGTTAATAAATAACATTTTATTTTATATTAGTAAATAAATATCAACAAAAGTTTTTTAGTAAAGTTTAATATTAAAGTTTCAAATAGTTAATATTATTTTTAAATATAAAATATCATTTTTCCTCATCTTAATTTTGTAGGTTTATTTTTTATAGATTTTTTTTATAAAATAAAATATTTTCCTTTAGTTATTTTCATTTAATAGTTTAGATGAATTTTTTTTATAATAAAAATTGATGTACTTTCAGTTTTGTGTATATTAAACGGATCAAACTAAATATTCATAAATATTCATAAATATTCGTAAATATCCGCAAATATCTGCAAATATTTGTAAATTTTCCGGATATCCAAAAATTCGGATATCCGTATATTTCCGGAGCAAATCAAATTATAAAATTAAATATCCGTTAAAAACGGAGCAAACCACAAATACTAAAAATTTCTCGGATATCCGATCCTCGCCCACCCCTACCTTTTATATCCTATCTTATCAGATTTTACTTTAGTTTGCCGTTCGGTTTTTCTTTTTGGTATGAAAAAATTGTTGCCAACTCAGAGATCAAAATGAAGTTTGGATTAGTTTTTCGATTTTAAAAATATTTCATTCCAATTCGGATTTTATGCTTTGCCGTTTCATATTCCTTTAATTTTGTGTTTAAAATTTGAACTTTATAGATATCAAAGTTCATAATTTACGAAAGTCATTTGATCTTTTATTGGTTCTGCAATACGGTTCATCGAAAAAGGTAAAGAAAGAAACTCTTGTTGATAACTTTAATACTAAACTGAGAGTACGTAAACTCTGAAATCATTTGGAATTGTGTATCGCCATAATCTATTATATAAGTAAATACTACAAAACTGAAAAACAAAAAACTGCTCCATGGAAACACAGAATCCAAAAGAGATCCATTATAGTGAGAGTTACTTCTTCAAGCAGATTTCAACTTGTTCGAAGCTGATGCGAGGTGAGAGAGTGTTCTGTGTCCGACGAACAACAGAAACACTCCCAACAATGAAAGTCCCTTGAGAGTCGTGAACAGATCCAACTGTAGGAGCATAGAAACAACAAAATATATTAATTAATATCATGAGCATTAGATTTTTTTGATGCAATGATCCTCATAATCTTAAGACAAGAACCGGTTTTGAAAGCTTGCCTTCAACCAGAAAAGCACGTAGAGAAGTAGAACAGCTCCAATTCCGCCATGGAAAAGGAAAGAGAATGTTGCAGGTCCAACAGATGATGGGAAGCTCTTGATGTTCACTCCCAACAGCGTAAGCTGTAACACAGAGAAAAAAAGTTTATAAGAGTTGTGTGATACAAATGTAATGATGTTATATATATATATTTAGAAAGGAGACTGACCCCAATCAAGAAACCAATGAATGGGAGAACGATAAGACCCAAGAAAACTAGAGAAAGCTGCTTTGCTGGAAGCTTTTCAGGAACCCTAAAGATGTGTGATATTTCATCTTTTGGTCCATATCTTGAGTAAAGGTCAGTGGACTGTGGAGGAGGTCTAGGTGCCTTCTCTGGACGCTCTGGTAGGTCCAGTTCAATGTGACCAATGTTACTCAATAAAGAGTTCTCCTGAAATACAAGAATTAACATTTTGCTCAAATTTCTGAGTGTGAAATTAGCTGCATTGGAAGCTGAATGAACAGTACTTACCATAGAAGCATCTCCAATTGTTAGCTGGATCTCATATTTACCAGAGAGGTAGTAGAGCTTTTCAACCAATCCAAGAAAATCCTAAAGGGAAAAAAATAAAAATAATCGTTAATACTGTATCATGGATGTCATTAATTTCAGCAGATTTGACCCTATCAATATGAAGATCGGTCAAAGATTTGTATTTTTTTGCAAAAGCAATTCTAAACGTAGTTTAAGGAACTTAACTATAACTAACTCAGACTTCTTTCCAGAAGTTTTCACGAGAAAGACATGCTCGACCTGTGACTCATGTTTCAGCTTGAGAAAGGCCTGCATGGACGTAAGCAAGTCAAGAAACTGAACAGAGCAATACCATTAATAAAGCGGAATTCGGGAATGAACAAACCTGGTGTGGCTTAAATACATGGCCAAGTGGAGTAGTTAACTGGAAGGACAGGCGTAGCTTTTGGAGGTGGTTTGCTGATAATGATACTCCTCCATCTTTAGTCAAATCTAGCCTACAAACGAAGCAAAAGAGAATGAAGAAAAACAAAAATGATTATAAGCACAGCAAGAAACTTGGAAAAACATATTCTTTAAGCAATAAATGGTACAAAAATACAGGTGACATACTTTTTCTGAGATTCAACACTCCCAATGTCACTGTCAAGTACAGCAATTTCTGCATTCTCAATGCTAATAGCTCCTGTGGCGGAAATAGGCACTTTTGTTCGAGCTTCTGTTATGTATATTTTTTCATGTGCCGAATCATCCAGCAAAATCTGCAGAAAACGAAGATTATCATGTTCTGTACATACATTTATATGGAGTCTTTGTGTGTAATATAATACTAACAAGAGCACTACCTGAAATACAAATGTATATTTTCCAACATCAAAGCTCTCGGGAAATGAGTCCAGGAAGTACGTTGCACTGTCAGCGTCAAACTTAAGCTCCTGTATCCCCAAGATGTCATGGAAACATGAAAACCGGCTTAATACAGAGAAAAGGGAACATTTATAATGCAAGCTCAAACAGTCAGAGAAGCTACACTATTTACCTGGTTGTTGATTACAGAAGAACCCTTTGATCCAGAACTTAGAGCTTGTACGAGCTTCACACTAAGAGCTGGTGCCTTAGAACCGAGTACAGTGCTTACTTTAACCTAGTTCCAGATATAGAGAATAAGATAATCAAATGATATACAAAATAGAAATAGAAGAAAGGTCAACTAGAATGAGTCGGTATCAAATAGATGAGAGCTCTCTATGCAATGCTTGAGCAATCTCTAAACCACATACCAGCTAAAATCCAACATCCAACAGTTATAGCCAGAAAATCTCATACTAAAATTACAGCTAATCAACAGGGAGACGTAATCAAAGCCAGAACATCTAAAGTTTTGACTTTCCTTACTAAAAGTAACACACGCATCTATGAAGAGAATTGTATAAAACCATACGAGTAAAAAGAAAAGATAAATGAAAAATAACATTTTAAACTATGCCAGTTACATCTTGATGCAAGTTTATGATGGGATACCTTCAGGGGCTCTTTCTTTGTCAATGAAATGACAGTAAATGGCAGAGACAAGATGAGTGGAACAGAGAACCTAAAATGATAAAGAAGAACCATAGAACATATTATTATTCCCATACAATGATAAAGTTTCTAGCGAGAGTATAATAAACGAGCAAGTGGTAGAAATTTCGCAAGTGTTCGAACTTTTAAACTTCAACTCTTGTCTACAGATATCTATCATGTCTGCAGCAATCATTTTGTTCAAAATTCTAGAATAGAGGACCTCAAGCCCTTAGGTTACTGAATTCTCGTCTAAATTGTGTACTGAAGTAAACCAAAGACAAATTGCATAAAGAGGGCATGAAAGTAGCATTGCCTGTTGTCTTCCAAACAAGCTAGTGCATCTATTTGGTTGAAGAAATCCTTGGCATCACCGGGAGTTCCAACACCAAGAAAGAACTTGGCCAAACCAACTATCTTATTACCTGGAAGCTGCATGAGAGAATGGGAAAGTGAAGGTGAATTATCAACACAGCTGACACAATGCAGGATACAAACAACGGTGGTCATTACATACGTCCCATCCTGAGGAATCTGAAGCTGCAAATGACGTGAGCCCTCTAATTACTGATGCAGTTGTTGAGATCGGGCCTTCGCTTTCATCGAAGTAAAATGTCCCGTCGTCTACAAAGCCAAAAAAACAAAATAATCAACCCCAGAAATGCAACTCCAAACTGAAAAAAAAAAAAAGTGACTGAAGAAAATCTCCTATGTAATCAGATAAGATAGCAAGTAGTTTTCTGCATACCATATTTTTTGATATTGTCAAAAAGCTTCACGATACCGCTCTTCAATGTCTGGATCTACAAGATGACAAACATGAATGATGATATCATTACATGACCAAGTAATATCAACCAAACAACCAGATAAAATGGCAAAAAGGCATAGCCAGACAAAAAAAGACAGAATTTAAATTGGCTTTATAATCTTTCCTGTAGCTATGACTTGGAAAAACACAGTTGCTTATTTTAGTTATTCAGAGACTCCAGAACCAAAAACGAAGATATCGTAAATGTCTCATTAGAATAATAATCTCAATAGAGTACCAAATATCTCACTTACCAATGATTGATCAATCTCTGAAGGTGCTAATGAAATCACTCCAGCAAGCGTTTCCAAGCCTAAGCCTGAAGGGGAACAAAAATCTTATGTTTAGAAGAATGAAGGAAAAAAAACAGAGCAAAAGAATTGAACACGTTGAAGCAAGAAAGGGATAAATGATCTAAAAGGTTCACCGTTAACGTTTAGCAACGTGAAGTAGGAAGGGTTAATCCAATAAGTAATACTAACCAGCAGCAAAAGTGCTTGATTCCGCATTGTTGGAGCTGTAGCGCCATCTTCCATCACTATGGCTAAAAGCCTGATACAAATTCACCATACGAGCCATATAATCTAAGTAGTATGTAATATAGTAACTGAATATCGGTAACATGTTAACGCTATATACACATCTACCAGAGTCTATAATTGATAGTTCAGAAAGACAATGTACAATGTAGCACCTGATAGCTCAACAACAACAACAAAAATAAGTGAGCTAAACAAGTTCAAACCTTGATGGAACGGAAAATGGCTTCGGCATCTCCAAGACTTAGATCAGTTCCAGAAAATTGCTCCTGCATTTATGCAAAGGAAGGGTCAAGCCTGAGCCAACAAAAAAAAGAAAAGCAGGAAGACAAAGCTATGGAGTTGAATATAATAAAGTTATCACGATACTTTCAAGTAATGAGCGAAAAACTAAGAATTTTTTTATAGAAGTATTATATGGAAAGGATTAGTCAATCCCACTCAAGACATGCACCAAAAGTCTTCTCGTATAGTCGTATTACCTTAACAAGCACCAAGCCTCCGACAGAATAATAGAAGTCAAGCAATAACTTCGCATCTTTAACGCCAGCTTGAAGTTGAGAAACAATGTCCTTCACAAGAGGAAAAGAAAGAACAGTTGAAGTTACTCTAGTCGCTTAAAAGGTAAAAGACCTTTATGATACTGAAGAGGAGATAATTGTATACCTTGGGGACATCTTCTCCAGTTTTGCATTTTAGAATCCCATTAACTTTCAAAGCGTAGAATGCATCCTTCAGAGTAGAAGAAGGTGACCCCAGAACTTTAACCACATTCTCACAAGTCGCAGAGCTTAGATCAGACTTTTTATCAACACCAAGAATCTCCAAAGTCTTCAATGCTTCATATGCCTCCTCCAAGCTGATCATAACAAAACCGCAAATTCAAATGGGTTCGTACAAAAATCATACACTAAACAAACAAATCCTGAGCTTTAACGAGCAACCATGACATAATCAGTAAATGTGGTAAGAAATCCTAAATCAAGTTAACTAACGAACACTACAATATGTGACAAAACGAAATCAAATTGTCGATTTTTTCCAAAAAACCAACCTTTTGTAGGATCCATCGACTGGCACGAAGACTTCCAGAGCCGCAGATCGGTGAGAGTCTGAAATCGGCTGAGAAACGGAAGCAGCACCGCAAATTGCTAGAGCGGAAATCAAAACCAGCAATCGTACGAGACCTCCGGCCATCATTACTGCATCAGAAAACTCAAACAAATCAAAAATCCAAACAATCACCGCATCAACGAGGGACAGATCGAAAAGCTTAAGCTTTTACAGATCGGAAGTAGATCCACACAGGGTAAGGAGATTACAAGAAGTGGGCGAGTCTCAGTAGTCAACGGAGACTGAGGTTTGAGAGAGCGTCGGATCGATCTATGGTTTTTGAACGAGAGGAAGAAGAAGACGAAGGCTAAAAATGAGTGTGGAGCTTGATGACAGTAACTGATAAGACCGATTTACCCTCGCTTTTCGACTTAAACTACACTCCAATCAAATTTTGGTTAAACGATGACGTATCAGCAAACCCTAAAACCCCTCCGATTCAATTCAACCTCCTCCAATTTCATTCAAACGGAGAAGAGGTCTTGAAGGTAAATCGGAATCTCAGAGCATGATCCGATTCGCGAGACCAAAACCTATAATCGACTCACTGAGTTGCGATCTTCTCCAGAAATGCTACGCTAGTGGAGCCCCCAATGGAAAGTCCAAGCTGAAGACAGCCCAAGCGTTGAAGCGCAAAAAAGCCTCCATGAGAAAAGGCGGAGGTGGAGAGGAGGCGGGTAAGGGAAACGGAAGAGTCTCCGACGAGAAGCAGAAGCTATACGATCAATGCATAAACGCTCCTTGCCCTTTTCGTTACCTGAGACCCAAGGAGAGAGAGCGAGAGGCGATGCGAGAGAAGCTAGGGCTAATCAGCAAGGACAGGCAACGAGAGACCGAGATCCAGAGAAAAGGCGGACTTTTCACCATGGGAGTCACCGACGAGCCGATGAGGATCGGGACTCCAGGGTTGGACTACATTTCGTTAGGGATTTTCACGGAGGAGGAGCTGCCGAAGTACAAGGTCACGGTGGAGGACGGGAGGAGGCTGGCGAAGGAGTACAGTAGAGTGCTTATGAAACAGCACAGAGCGAGACGTGTGGAGCAGTGTAATCTGATGAATATGAAGAAAGCTGCGATAGAGGCATTGCCGGAGAATCTAAAGATGGCAGCTTTAGAGCCTGATTCGACTCCATTTCCGGCGAATCGTGGAACGGCTACTCTTACACCTCCTATCGAAGGGTATCTCGAGAAGATTATGGATGCAGCTAAGAAGAGATCCAGTAAAGAGAAGTTGAGATGATCAGAAGAGGTCAGAGAATTTGTGTTTACTCTCTATGGTAGAACTAGAACATGAGTTTGAAGTTTTAATGTGTTTCTACTTACTTCTGTTTGAGATTAAGTTTATTCATATCAGCCTTCAGAGAAGTGAAGTTGTTTAAGTTGAAAGTCCACATAATAATTGGAATCATGATCATTCTCCTGTTTGAGGCTAACTCTTTTGTATCTCCTTCCTTGATCTTGTTTTGTATATTCGTTCCTTTCAAATTTTTACTGTTCGGTATGATATGTATATACAACAGTACACCTTGGTCTCTTGCCTCATTTGATCTCTTGTGTTTATGCACATGTAGGATGTCTAAAGTGATCAAATTGAAAAAGTTAGAAGTGATCTGTAGCCTTTCATCCTTCCTAAAATCATACTCCTAGACAGTAATTAGCAAAAAAACACAACTCCAGAGTAAAATGGAATCTACACTTATGTTACACTTGTTCAATCCATATGAGAATCGGGTTTTGTGCTTCGTGAGCTTAGCGTTGGATGTACTTATATGTATTATGAGATGATGTCCTGCTTCTGCTTGGGTTTCTTCATTCAAATGCATTGTTTTTGGGTATTATTGGCTTCAAGCTCTCCAAATTCATTTTCTGCAGCTTCTTACCCAGTAGAGAGCAATGGGAAGAGTTTCAAAGCTACAAGACCACGATTCTCTGAGGAACATCATAGTTTAAAAGCTGAGGAAGTATAGTCTTAATAGAATCAAATCCTGACTAGTGGCTAGAATTCATCTAATGACCTCTCCGCTCCCATTTGTTTCCCTTAGTACAGGTGCTATTTTGGAGCCCTATTGAATCCTGAGTCTTTGGTAAACTAATCAAGCTTGTGGATCTCTGAGTTCTTGGATCACAAAATTTATAATTCTACAGGACTTTTTCAATGCCACTAAAACAAAGGTCCTCTATGAATAAAGAGCAGATCGTATATGTTGTTAATCAATAAAACAAGACTTGACACACTTTATATGTTCTCTTTCTTCTCTTCCGTGTCAAACAAAAAAAAAATATACACTGGCAATAAACAGAAGAAAAAGAAAAGACAAGAGATCAGATACTGTAGTAGAAAAGCTAAACAGAGCAGCAAGAATGTACTAGTTGTAGTTACTCTGTATAGCTTAAGATCATCAAAACTTGAATCAGTCTAACGTGAGATCCCTTCTTCATGAAAGTCTTAAGAAATGTGTTGCAACACCGGATTATAAGCAGCCCCATCTTCCAAAGCTGTGATTCCTACCAGAAACCAAAAGTTTCCCAAACGCAACAGTTAAGATTAGCATTCACAGAATTCCAAAGATCGAGGAAAGATTGAATGGACATGTATGTGTCTGGTCAGAAGATCATAAGCGTTGGAATCCAATGATTGGATGTAAGTAATATATAGTTGGCCTCACACAAATAGCAATAAACTTACAAGTGGAAGCTTGTATAGAGGCTGTATGGATCTAGATTCAGTTTCAACTCCCCATAAACGCACACAACCATTAACTATCAGCTCCAGATGCAGCGAGAAGGCTACCTCTACAGACGGCAACTGAACTGACCCCAGAACATGCTGATGTACAGAGACAAGGAAGCAATATTCAGAGTCAATTGCATTTAAAGACAAGGAAGCAAGACAGATTTTGTTAAGTAGTGAGGCCTTACATTATGGATCATAGCAGTTCCAGTATAAGACTTCCATCATTCAAATTCCTATTTTACAACCACAACGCCACTTTAAGATTTTTTGAAAAAGATATCATAAAGTTTGGTAATAGCAGCCGAGAATTCTTCCCAGTGGACTGAATCATACGGCGAAGGCGACGTTGATGGAGAGTGTTTTATATTTACAAATTTTTTTAGTTTTGCGCGAAGAACACAGCTTAAGGAAACATTATCTTCAACCACGAATGTTTAAACCAGACCTTAATTTATCATGTGTTGAAGCAAACGTGAATAAAAGCTATTAACATAATGCAAAAGCTTTAAACGATCTTACAAACTTGTGAAACACGTAATGAAAACCTAAAAACCCAGCAGAAAATCCAACAATTAATAAACCGAAAGCCTAAGCCAATCTTATGTAACATTTATTGAAAACCAGCTAGTGATCTAAAGTTGTAGCACCAGGTTTCTCTGCAACAACACCACCTTCCTCAGCTTTCTGCAACGTCGTCATCTTCTCCTTCGATGTGGCCTTTGCTGTATCATACGTTGCGTGCAACCCAAACAAGAAGTAGTAAACAAGAAGAACACCTGTCCACAGCGCAAACCTAATGTACGATTTTTCATCGATTGAACCAAGCAGAAAGATATTGATAGCGATCGAGGTAGAAGGCAACCACGGAACCAAAGGAACACCCCAAAGTTTAGGCGCCCTAGCTTGCGGTACAAGAAACTTCATCCCAACGGTAGACAAAAACCAAATAGGAACCGTAACGCAATATCCAATCCAACCGTCATTTCCCACGGCCCAATACACAGCAGTCGCCGTCGAGGACGCAAGAATCAAACCTAGGAACACTAAGAACTTGTTCCGGTCACGGGACGATGTTTCTCCGGTGACGTAGTATCTCCTGACGAGAAGAGCAATCGCGACGAACATGAAGATGAAAAGTGTGGAAACCGACAACAGATCGGCTAAAATGTTTAGTTTTGTGAAGAAGGCGATGACAGCTGTCGCGGACAGCATCACTACGGTTGCGTTAATTGGTGTTCCGGTCTTTGCGTTGACCTGAGCTAGCCATGGAGGCATCATGTGGGCCCGGGCTATGTGCGTCAGGTACCTAGCTTGACCAATGGCTCCAACTAACAAAACTGTCGTCATACCTACACAATTTCAAAGATTTTGATTAGACTAAATCGAATATAAACCATTAACAAAGTTTTTTCTTGGTTTCAATTGCTTATTGTAAACGCAAACGCAAATAAATAGTTAGGGACGAAATCGTTGTCATACCTTTAAGAGCACCAAACGCGACAAGGTACTTAGCCCAATCCCATCCAACCGCAGAGAACGCGACTGAAAACGGCGCGTCCGGATCAATCATTCCATAAGGTTGCATGAGGCACAACGAAACCGCCATTAGACAATAACAAACGGTAGTAACCACCATTGATCCAACAAGACCAATCGGAATATTCTTCCCCGGATTCTTCGTCTCCTCCGCCATCGTGGAAACCGCATCGAATCCAATATAGGCGAAGAAAAGAACCGACGCGGATTTAAATATTCCTCTAACTCCAAACGGAGCGAAGTCGGAGTAGTTTTTGATATCGGCTCTAGTAAAACCGGCGATGATTACGAACAGAATCACGAGCATGTGGACTATAGAAGCGATGTAATTGAATATTGACGAGCCTTTTGTGCCAACGACAGCTAAAACGCCAATGATCACGCAAACACCGACCGCGATTGGATCTAAGTGGCTATAGTCTTCGCCGAGGCTATGAGCTATTATGCGGAATTCGTCAGGTTCGTGGTTTAAGAGAGTGGCGAAGTAAGAGGTCCATGACCGAGACACGGCAGCTCCGCCGACTATGTATTCGAGGATAATGTTTCCGGCGGCGATGAAAGCCATGAAGTCACCGAGCTCTACTCTCAAGTAGGCGAAAGAACCGCCTAAACACATTGGTAGGTTATATCGTTAATAAAGAAATAATCTTGTGGCCACAAATGCAAATGAAAACTTCTTCCACTTTCCGTTTGCGTTTCGGCGCTTAAAAACGAAACTTGTAATAATTAAACGCCAAATCGCAGGAAACAAAAAAAAGACTTTTTTAAGTTGCAAATTGCGATTGTATTTACAAAAACTTGTGTTCAGGTCAGTACAGTCGAAAAGTTTGTACGCACTTTATTTCCTATATGATTACGTAAGGTAATTGACACAAATTAACCAAACAGTTCGTTTCGTTACTGGTTTGACTTTTCAAATGAGAGATAACAAAAGAAAACAAGCAAGTAAACGGTAGGCCCCAAAAAGAATCTGTATATGGTTATGAATTTATGAGTCCTAATTACAAGTATTATTTTTTTTTAGTACTACATGCCAACAAATCTAAATAATACACTATAACTCTAAATAATTATCAACTCTAAATAATGATTACTGGTAGCTAAAACTCTTTATAATATACGAATAGTAAATTCTTCCAACAAAAGCTTTTTTAGTAATACAGTATTTAGGGATAAGACGAAGTTGTCACACATGTGGTATGAATATTTTAAAGATCTTGATATATATACGCAAATCCCAATATAATATTCCCTAATTACGATGACAGTGATGGTCAAATAATATTTTTTGAGAATATTAGGAAAATATGCGATTTGGTTTAAAGATGCAAATCGGATAGTGAATATTAAATTAGATTTAATAATATGATTAGTGCTTCAAAGTAATATTTTCCAAGCTTCAACTTAATTTTTCTAAAAAGAAAAGAGAAATTTTGGAATTTTTTCAAGAAATATCAATCTTAGGAGTGAGATACAAGAATATTACTCTGTTTCTCTGTTAATATGCGTCTTAATTCATAGATGTACAAATAAAAGTTTGAATCCTTTTTAAACTTGAACTTAATAAAGTTTTATGGAAAAAAACTATTTAGGAAACTATAAAATGAATTCAGAAACAGAGCAAATGAATTTTTTCGGTTACCTGCGACGGGAATCTCGACGGCGAACTCAGTGTAGCAAAAGACGGAGAGCATGGCGGAGATACCGGAGATGACGTAAGACAAGACGACGGCGGGACCTGAATGCTCACGTGCCTCGAGTCCAGTGAGAACGAATATTCCGGAGCCGATGACTGCACCGACGCCGAACCACATCAGATCCCACCACGTCAACGTCTTCTTCATCTCGTTACCACTACGAGCCTTCATCTCGTGAATCTCCGTCGAGTCGAGTGACCGAGTCGTAAGACGATCAATGAACCGACGCGGCGTCTCTTTGAGGGCTTTAAAGTAATTCCCCATGCTCTGGAACGATTCCTCCGGGAGAAAATCGTCCTTCGTGCACGAACAGCCTCTCCGACGAAGCCCGTCGTCACCGGTTTCCGATCCCATTTTCCTGATTACGGCGGAAAAAAAAAATAGTGGTTTTGATTCTAATTTAGATTCAGATTCTGAGATAGGTTTTATACAGAAAGATTTTTTTTTAGGTAAAGTGAATGGAGAAAAGAAATTGGGAAAATATGTTGACAAAAAAAAAAAAAAAAAAAAAAAATTGGGAAAATATAGAGAGAGATGAAACTGAAAACCCTTAAATCTCAAATGGAAACAGATTCTTGCTAAGCTGCAGTCAACAAAAAAAAAAAAAAAACAGATTCTTGCTAAGTTTTGGATCTTAAAGTCTGCCGTACTTATAGTCATTATCCTTTGACATTTTTGACTTTTTTTTATAATCAAGTCCGAATACAGAGAATACTTAATTACTTATGCCTAATATTATAGATTAATATACGAAACGAAAATATTAATATGGAAACCTTAAAAAACGAATCCATGAGTTTATGACTTTTTGTTGTATATATGTCACTTGTTGGATGTTGCTGCCCCAGTAGCTGCTTTCTTTGACCTTTTTTTAACAATAACAGAAAAATGGGGGAAAATCGAGTTATAACAAAAATAATAAAATTAAAAAAAGTTATGTGCAACAAACAATTCAAACAGATTTACACACACCCCCAAAACAAGAAAATATCAAACAGATTTGCTATATTATTGCGTGATGACATCAGCAATAAATAAGAGAAGTAGAGAACATGATTTTTTTTTTTTTATATATAAAAATAGAGAACATGATTTTCCTTCGGACCATAACGTACTTTCACGTGGATAATTTTCGTTTGACTAGAATGTTTATACAGTATTTCTTACACGAAGTTATTATAAAATTTTGATTTGTTCATTTTTACTTTATGATGATGATTGGTTTTACTTTAAATTTGACCAAGTTTAAGGTTCAAATTTGACACCAACCAACCACTTACCGCAATTGCTCCTTCTTTTAAGTGCATTCATGAGGGAATGATCCACCTCACCTATTTTTCAAGATTTTCTTTCGAAAAATATCTACTTCCTCCTCCGTTTTATATTAAACCATGTCCAAGAACTGTGATCACTTGTTGAAGTTTCTTTTATACATTAAATAAAACTAACAATTAACTCAGAATGAAAAGAAAAGAAAAAAGATCATGCGTTCTGCCCCCTAGGTGTGTTATATGAATGAAAAGACTAACGTATGTTCGTTTTTGATCCGTTGAAACAAGAGCTTACGTTACTCGAATCGAAAATGAAACTGAAACTGGACTTGGGACACGATACCTATGACGAATGCAAACCGTCTCCGCGGAAGTTCAAATAAGGAAGCCAAGCCATCATATATATTGATTGAGATCCAGAACATTAAATCAAGATATTATGCTTGAAGTTGAACCAAAGTTTAAGAAGTAATCGTTGGTTTAGGAAAAAAGAATATCCAATCTTTGTGTTTCTTATTTTTGCGAAAGAATAACAAGTTTGAGAAATAAAGTAAAAATATTTCAAGTTCAGAACTGGGAGGTGTCTAGCTAGTTAGATATATCAAACATTCGTGATTAAAACGAGGAAGGTTCGCTGAATTGCTTTCGGGAAAAAGGGACTAAGAGGCTCTCTAAGTATTTTAAGAATCATTTAAGTAATGTTGATGCATAGTAATTCAAAGCATCATTGTGTGTTTTCTGATAACTTACAAACATTTCATATATAATACATGTGTATCATGTATGTCGTTTATTGTTATGTGAGAGAAGGAAAAAAAACTAATATGGTTGCATTTTACTGACAAAGAAAAACATTTTACTACGAAGATTTTAACAACCATTATAATATATATTTACCATTTATTCACACTTAGGTGACAAGAATACGAAGTCCAAACACGTTTATAATATACATGTTTAGCAATTATACACATTTCTTATCTTAGAGTATGCATGCATACTTAGGTGACTGGACCAATAGAATTGCAGTCAAACCAGTTTCCATGGATAAATTCATCTTGGTCAAACAAAGATTAATACTCTCTACATGAAAGTAACTTATTCATTATTGAGCTGTAACAATCTTTATAGTATCCCTCGACAATTTCAACCTATCAAACATCTTACTTATTTCGAATATACTTGGTCATAATTTTTTTAATAAGCCCAAATCGACCCGATAATCCATTTATATACCAAACTGGAAACGTCATTTCTAATTTCAACAACACAAACTTGAGTTGACAAGTAGATGTTTTGCAAGGGAATTAGGGGTTTAGGGTACATAATACAGATCTGACAAGGTATAAAATATTGCAGCAGTGAGGAGGGATTGTGAAGAAAGCTATGAGAGTAATAGTATGGTCACGTCACATGAATATAAAGACTAGATATATATACAGATATACTACTACTATACATAGTTTATACAAAAAAGTGATTTCCCAAACTTATACAGTACTAAATTTGTTTTTTATTTCCATTTTCCCTTCAAAAAATGCTAATCATTGTACGACTAAGAGGAATCTTGATCCATCTATATATGAGTGCTATATGCAGTATTAGTTGAAGTCAACTTTGAAGACAAAACAAGTTTTTATTATGGATTAGGATTATCAAACATAATTATCTATTCAATGATCAAGCTGTAACAATCTTTATAATATCCCTCAACGATTTTAGCCTATCGAATATCTTACTCATTTTGAATAGTCACTTGGGTTTAGTTATATAAATATAATTTAATACTCCCGAATCGAGCCAAGAATCATTCTCTTAATTCATTTATATACCAAACCGGAAACGTTTTTATAATCTCAACAACGCAAAGTTGATAAGTAGAGGTCTTAAGGGAACTAGGTGAGTTTCTACACTATTGTGCAAGTTTTCCATAAAATAATCCACAACTTTCTATTGATTATAATTTGATTTTTCATAAATATTATCATTATCACCACTATTATCACCACTAAACCACTTTATATCAAAGTAAAAAGAAACTTGTTTTTCAGTTTCTTGACCCTCTCGGTAAAGAAAACATGACATAAGTAATACAATAAAGAAAATAAACTAAATACATGAATAGCCACAAAATATCTAACATAAAAGCTCTATAATATATGCCTGATTTTATTTGTAGTTATATGGCTTTTTGATATACCGTAGTAAAAAAAACTTGTGGTTATTTTGTGGTTATACGAAAAAGTTATCATAACTATACAAATGTGATCAATTTTGTTTGTGGCGGTATGTACATTTTCATGGTTTTTAATGGTTAATTTGTGACTAGACATATAATCAACACAATAATAACCCATAAGTTTCTCTATGACTTGACACATCAGCATTTTCAAACTTTTAGGGGATGATATTTCAGCAAAAAAAACACCAATAAAAACATTTTATAAATCATTAATTTATTTTAACTTTTAAATTTAAACCCATTAAAAACTTAAATATTTTTTATTTTTTATTGTTAATTTTAATTTTATTTTTTGGTCAAGCCCAAACCCAAATAATAAATAACAGCAAATAAAAAAAATTATTTTATTTTTTTAACAAACCCAAATAATAAATAACAATAAATAATAGAATTAAATATTTGTTTTATATTTTTTTCAAACTAAAACTCAAAAAATAAATAACAGCACAAAAAATTAAAATTTCTAACTATGTGTTTGCTTGATAGAAACGTATATGATTGAAGAAAGTGTAGACTCATCATCAACTATGCTTCCATAACAACAATGCACAAAGCGTTATGTTATAAGAAGCTAACACATCAGCAAAAATTTGAACCAATAAAAACATGACAATGATACATATTATTAACATACTAATAAAATTAATTTACTATTTTGCTGACCTATTAAAAAGTCCAAAGTTTACAAAAAAAAATGGAAGCCGAAAGCAAATGAGGAGAAACTCAGACCACCACAGCTTGGATGTAAAAACCCAAATTCGGGCTATGAAAGAACTAGGGTTTGGAAGGTTTTAAAGAGATCTTTTATTAGAAGAAGCCGAAGCTTGATTGAATACAACGGTGTTTAGGTCGTCGGAATGAGAACGCCGACCTAAAACTCTTAAGGAAAGTTAACCAAAAGCTAGAACAATCTGATTGCTTGGTTTGCTCTAGGTCTTAACTAATGATTTTTTATATCCATTGAGAAGTCGAGGACTTCCTATATTTATACCCGATCAGGTCGGTCTTCATCCTGTTCGGAATAGGAAACTCTCGTCGGCAAGGAGTTTCCTTTTTCTCCGGGTCGCTTGATAAATGGAAGTTTTCCTTTTATGTTGCCGACCTGGGAATTGTTAGATGGGCCGACTAGAATTCATATCGGGCTTGTTAGAGACGGTACGAATCTCATCTCTAACATTGGAGATTCGCATTTCCACTGATTACCGAGAACAAATTTTCTTGGGTTTGGCGGAAATAGAGAATTTCTTGGTTTTGGTAGAAAAATGTGATTTTCAGTTTTGGTAGAAAAACATAGTTTCTCGGTGGTGGCGGAAAAAAGCGAATTCTCGGGTTTGGCGGCAAAATGTGAATTTTTGGTTTTAGTGAAAAATAATTTTTTTTTATTTTGACAATAAAATGCGAGGGAAATGCAACTTTTCTATTTTGACGAAAAATACGATTTCTCGGTTCTGATAGAAAATTTTTCGGCTTTTGATGGATAATGTAATTTCTTGATTTTTGCGGAAATTGTAATTTGACAATTTTGACAGAAAATACAATTTCTCGGGTTGATAGAAAAGCAAAATTTCTCGATTTTGGGGGGAATAAACAATTTCTTGGTTTTGATGGAAAATGCAAATTTTCAGTTTTTGACATATAATTTGATTTTTGGTTTTCGAGGGAAAATATGATTTTTTAATTCTCGTGGAAAACACAATTTTTTTAGGAGATAATGCAATTTTTGGTTTTTGCAGATAATTGTAGTTTATCATTTTTGGTAGGGAGGCGTGATTCTTAATTTGATGAGAAAAATAATTTTTTCTTGTTTTGGTGGGAATAGACGATTTCTCGATTTTTACGGAAAAATAATTTTTTGGTTTTGACGGAAAATACTATTTTTTGTTTTTGTAGGAAGATAATTTTTTTTTGGTTTTGGTGAAAAAACTTGATTTCTCTGTTTTGACGGAAAAACAAAGGTTCTTGCGGGAAAATGTGATTTTTTGGTTTTTGAGGAAAAATGCAATTTCTTTGTTTTGGTAAGAAAATGAAATTTCAGATTTGACGAGAAAATGATTTTTTTTGTTTTGGCGGGAATAGGCGATTTCTCAGTTTCGTGGGAAATTTTTTTTTTTTGTTTTGTCGGATAATGCAATTTCTCGGTTTTTGTAAAAATATAAAATTTATCTGTGCTAAATTTTTAAGTTATAATATGTTTATAGTAACCAAAATTGAATTATTTAACTTCAACTAAATTGATATTTCAACAGTTCAAATAGAACTTTCTATTTAGTTCTAAAGTAATAATAATGATTTTGATATGAATGTTATTGATTATAGTTTGGTAGTTTTAGAAACATATGTCTATAATAAATATTTGATAAATAATTATATTTTATAATTTAAAATAATCATATTAATTAATATTTTTTTAAATGGCAATTTGGTTTATATAATTTCAAAGGAGGATCAAGTTGTAATTTAGTTGAGAAAATAAATTACATCTACCATTAGCTTGAAGGTATTTAAAAATGTATTGTTTTATTCTTACATATACATTTATAGATAGTTAGCTAAACAAATTTGATAGTAGATTATAATTTTTAAAAATAATAAATTAATGATATATAATGTTTATTTAGATTTAAAACATATAAATACATAACTTAAATTAATGAAAAATAGATATAATACTCATTTAAAATATATAAATAATTTTATTATATTAAAAATATATACAAATCTAGAAAAATATCCGGCAGTGTAGCACGGATAAATACCTAGTTTAATTAATTCTTCGTAGATTAACGCTCTTGTTTCTTTTTGCTCACCAAAAGCAAATTTGATGGAGAAAAGTAAAACTATATAATCATTTCAAACACAAAGAATTAGAGATTATGTCAATTACTTCATAAATGGACCAACATCAACATTTGCTTCATTGATAAGATGTTTACGTGACGTTTGGATATAAAATATTGGTTTTGCTAGGAGCGTGTCCTGATGTCTTTACACTGTCCTGTGTTCATGTTGTTCCCATAATATCAAACGAAAACAGCCACTAAACTCCCTGCACCAAATCGGGTAGCATGATTTCATTTGATTAGCGTTTTAGATTAGATCTTTGGCTGCGGTGTTGCCTTTTTAGAACACAAAAAATGATAAGAGTTGTAATCACATAGAAAGGCACACATGTGTTATTACATTGATGATTTAGTCAGCGTTTACATAAAATCCAGATTTAAACATAAAATATTGCAGAAGTGAGGATTGTAACAGATTAATCGCCACTTGCGCACCCTTGACAACCGCAGTGAACACACTCCACAACCTTCTCTTCACGTAGGTGTTTGGGAACACGGCATACACATGTCGTCCCATAGTTGTGATCTCTTGGCTGTATGCAGCGCAAGCAGCACAAGCGTTCATATCCTGACTGCATTCAACAAAACAGAGAGTTCATACAGAGTTAGTAACAGACTAAAGAAACTATATAAATCTGACAAGAATAAAAATATCACAGAAAGAACACAAAAGTAAAACCGAGATATCAATATCCGGGTAACAGAACCTACGAACGTAAATTTGCATCTGAACTGAAAGCAACGACTTTGCTAAATAAAAGATTCAAGAGAAACCATCATTAACGTGTTTGGGGGAAGCTTGGAGGAAGTTGTACTATAACTAATAAATTAAGCAAAGTGGCAGCTTCAACAAACATCTCTTAAGAAGCACTTCTTGTTCAAAGTATAATTTTACTAGACATTTTGTTCCCTACCAAACAAAACTGCACAATCTCAATTCTACAACCCATCTTTTGGTAAGATCATTCCAAGCAAGTGCATTTACTAAGACATTAAAATTAGAGAAACAGCTTCAAAAAACCATTGTGACCTAGGGCGACACTAGACCCTCTGATTGATTCAACAACATTTTACATATCCTCAGTTCTATAGAATCTCCAAATCACTACAACTTGGCCTCAAACAACTAGCTACAAGAAGGCGCACAGACAAAAAAAAAGTTGAATCAAGAATGAAATAAGAACGCACCTTCTTCCATTTCGCAATCAGGCTACGATCTGCATAGCCCTGGTCCAAGCAGAACTCATACAGCTCTTTGGATATTTCCTCCCTTCGGTAGTAAAGGTCATATACATACCGACTTCTCTGATGAGAGACTTTGAAGATCGGCCATAAGGTTTCACACTTCCTCTTGCCATCATGTGAATCCATCTCAGCTGCACAAGTAACAACAACATAGTTAGAGCACAAGCAAAGGCAAAGAAGCAAACTCTCGCCACCTGAAGAATGATATAAAGCATAATCCAGATCGAAACTAACCTTCTCTCATCTTGGCATCTAGCTCTCGCAGAGTAGGCTCGATCAACTCCCACCCTTCTGGGTACTTGACTCTGTTAGTCTTAACCTTTGGCATTTTTCTACAGAATGAAAAATTCACAACATTAAACAAAGGATCAAATTGAGCTCAGTGAGTAGACATCTTCAACAACAACGAATTCAAACTATGGTTTTACAGGCGTGATTCTAATACTTTCGTAGTAAAAGAAAACTTCAGATCAGGTATTTGAAATATAAAAGCAGGGCTGGTTCCCGAAATTAGGGTTTATACGTAAAAGCTATCATCGGCTCGACGCAACGAGTAGATCCAGATTAAAAACTATAACAGTCTAGGTGAAGTCTCAGAAACAAAAAGGGAGCAATTAGGGTTTATCAACCTCTGTGATTTGAGATCGACACGAACTTTAGAGAAGGGGGAAAAATTAGGGTTCAGAAACGAATCGAAACGAGTGCAAGGATAAGACTGGTCTACAAGGGGAATCGAAGAAGCTTACCTTCGCAGATATTAAACAACAGAGACGTTGGAGTCTGAGGAGGAGAGATCGCGGCGCAGGACGAGGACGAAGAAGAAGAACCAACGTCGGAGATAGAGAGAAAGGCTCTTTTAAGGGTTGGATTCGGTATAACGAGTGGTACATCACCTGGGCCGGTCTTATGGAATTTTCAGATATACGGTATACGTACTGATGATATATATCTCTGAATTTTAAATGCACGTATTCCTTTTCAATTGTAACAAGGTTTATCACAAAAAATGGAAAAAGTTATCAGGTTATTGGGTTATCCAGGTACCCGGTCTGGTATCAGACTTTACCCGACCCAAACCGAAAACCGTATCAAAATCACTCAGAAACATCGAACCGAACCAGGTTTAACGCCCAGGATTGTGAATAATCAATTTTGGAAATAAAACTTCAAATTTTGGAAGACAAAAAGTAATTTTTAATTTTTGTATATTCATTTTATTTATTCCTTTATCCCAACCACACACCATCACTCACAACCTTAAACTACAACTCAAACCATGCGAATAGAACCACATCTCTTTACAAAGTTTGGTAGAAACAAAGCCAGAGAGAATTCAACATGTCATGCATCCAAATGAAAAACCTCCAAACTTTGGAACTTTATAACATCAATCATCTTTCAGCTTTCGACATTGTCTGCAAACTAAGCAATTATTTGGCAAAAACGCAATAAACAACTTCAAGAAAAAGACCAGTGCAACCTTAGTTTGCATCCGCATATGGCAGCAACTGGATTACATATCGAAAACCAAAAGCATAATATAAAAGAAAAAAGGAAACAAAAGAAGAAGCTCGCTGCTTATTCCTTCTTCCCGATCCCATTCGACATGTTGTAGATCCCTGTTCCCTGTATCCAGCCACACAAATCAACCATGGTTAGATGAATAAAGGTTTTAGCATAACCAACCGAAATGGAACTAACATGTTCCAAAGTGTGGTGATTAGGACGAACAGATTTCAAGGCAGATGGCAAATGTAACCATGAATATATAGTTTTAAGAATTGAATAGATGAGCTTACAATCATGTAGAGAGAACTTGCAGCCAAGGCAAGAGGGATGGCAACGGAGGTGATCTTGTCCATTGGTCCTTTCAGGTAAGTGTGCCTGTGGATGCTCTGGAACAATCTCTGCTTCTCCAGAAGCTTCTCTCGTGGCCTAAATGGAGTTTCAGTCAACATGATCTGCGAGTCCATATCCACGCAAAACCATTAATCACTCAAGGCATGACCAATCTATATATCAGCTAAGAATAACAACGCATTTATCCAGACACAACACTGACAGAAACAAACCATATGATAAAGTAGAATTCAAATCAAAACACTTTATTGATAACGAGCCTACAACCAAATTATGCATGTGACATCATCTCGATCCTAAATTTTTATTCCGTTCACCTTGAAGGCTAAATTGATAACGAACATATATCCAAATTGAGACTTTTAAAACATTTCGATCCAAAAAGTTTTGTGCCCTCAAAATCAGGGCTGGATCTGAGTGTGTGCAAATTGTCGAAATCGGGTTTCTATATCGGGACGATTAAATCGTCGCAGTTATATACTAAAATACTGTCAAAAACCCAATTAAACTAGGTCAATTTTCAACAAAAGAACAGGGAGAAATAGGTTTATCGTTCTCTGCAATTTGAGATTGACATAAAAAACCTTACAAAATAGAGAAAATTTACGTTTACAAACGATTCCACCAGAAATATGCGAAATTACGATCGATCTACGAGGAAAATCGAAGAGGCTTACCTTCGACAAATTAATCGACAAGATAAGGGAGATTGAGAGAGAAGAGGGATCAGAGTGCTGCAGATGGAGAACGAAGAACAGCAAAATGGCGTTGAATTGTCTTAGGGTTGGGTTTAACAAGCATTCTCATTTGGGCCGGTCATAAATTATAAGCCCATATTGAGCCGATAGTTAAATTTGTAATTTGAGTTATATACCAAACCGGTCCTTCTATTAATCAATTTGTGTTCTGAACCGGCCATTCTTCTTAAGGCGTATCTCTGCGTTCACCGCCTCCTCTTTTACATCGTCTCTCTCTTTCCCTCTCTCTCCGGCCGCTTCCTATAATAACAGAGCCGGGAGCTTTTCGCGCGAATTTCATACAAGGCGAAACCCTAGTTTCTGGGCGAGGAAGAAGATGAGTGTATGGAACTACGTCGTTACGGCTCACAAACCCACCTGTGTCAGTCACTCTTGCGTGGGAAACTTCACAAGTCCTCAGGAACTCAATCTCATTGTTGCGTATGTAACTTTTCTCTCTCTCTTTTATTTTCTTTCCTTTTTTGCAACCCCTTCTGTGCGCAGATGTTAATTTGGGGTTTAGGGTTCATAGAGGAGCTAGTTTCCATCAGGGGTCGATTTCTATAGTTTTACTCTCTTTGCCTCTACTCTGAGAGCTGAGTGTTTTGGTTTGTAATGTCTCTGGCACTATTTGATTTAGTGGATGGTTATTTATGTACACAATCGATTCACCAGTTGATGTACTAGTGACTTCTCTGGGCTTGATTTCATGATAGAGAAGGGACGTTATGCTCTTGAAGATGAAAGTTCTTAATTGAGTGGAATTCAAGTTCTGTAATTTGTTTCGAAAGCTAATCTGGTTTCTGTTTATCGTTTAGCATTACTTTCTGTTGAATGACAGCTTTGTTAAACTTATCTCAGGAAATGCACTCGAATCGAGATCCATCTTCTTACTCCACAAGGACTTCAGGTACATTATCATTCCTTTTAGTGATTCTTTATTGGTTTTTCGTCGTGTCATCGTTGCTAAGATAAGTCCATTCTAACTTTACAAATATTCAGTTCCTTGGATTTAGAGTGCAAGTCTGAAATGTTTTTGTTACTTTAGTCTCATTTTGGAAAATTGATTTCTTCATATGGATCGGATATGTTGAGTGATTTAGTCTTTTGCAGATGATGCTGGATGTTCCTCTATATGGTAGAATCGCAACTTTGGAATTGTTCCGTCCCCATGTGAGTTTAGTTTTCTTAATGCGTACTTTTTTTCACTCTGAGGTAATCACGAGTAAGTGACGATGTTAATTGATAGTGTACTTCATCTTTTTCCAGGGTGAAACTCAAGATCTTTTATTCATTGCAACTGAGAGATATAAATTCTGCGTTCTCCAATGGGATTCCGAGTCCTCTGAACTTATAACAAGGTATAGTTTGCCATGAAAAGTCAACTTTTCATGCAGTCAGATGAGATTGAGCTACTGGATTTGTTATGTGTCTTTTTGAAATGCTTTCTGTAATGTTTTTGTTTTCGAATTTGGTGTTAGAAAGGGATCACATTTTAGTAACTATGTGCAGACTAGTGCATGGGATCATGTAGTGTCTTTTAGGTACAAGTTTATGACGTTTCCTATCTGTTCACAATGTGTTTTAGGATTCCAGTTCCTTTGGGGTCATTTAACTTGTAGTTTGCTGTATGTCTCAAGTCTGGAAAAAACTTCTGGTGCTAACATAGTTGTTGCTTACAGTTAATTAAATTAGTTAATATTCCAACTGAATGTGATTCCCGTGACCGGTGATTCTAAATATTATTTCAACAATTTGTAGGGCAATGGGGGATGTTTCCGATCGTATTGGCCGACCAACAGACAATGGTCAGGTATTGAGATCAGTAGCAATGCACTGTATCTTTCACAGTGGTTTGACTTTCCTTCTTTAGTCGTATATGTGCTGTAATCTGAGTGTTATGTGGCATTCCTGAGTTCTCACTTGACACTGATTTTGCAGATTGGTATAATTGATCCTGATTGCAGATTAGTTGGTCTCCATCTGTATGACGGCTTGTTTAAGGTATGATATAGTCATTGTTGACGTATGGTATGCTAGTTTGCTGTCTGTGTCATGTTACTGAACTTCCATTCATCAAATGGCTTACAGATTATATAATGGTTTGTTTTCTGGGTTTATTGGTTAGGTTATTCCATTTGACAATAAAGGACAGCTCAAGGAAGCATTTAACATAAGGTACTCTTTTTTCAGTAAACATGCAGTTTGGAGGATGTCAAGCTTATATTTTGCTCTGTTTTTATGTTTGTTAGTCGTCTACATCGTGTGTGTTCTAGTGCACCCTTGTTTCAATGCACCAAATCTTTCCTGAATTGACTCGGTCAATACTCTTGGTTTCTTGCAAATGTGGTTATTATGAGGACCACAACACTGAATTTAATATTCACTTTGTTGCCTAAATTTCAGGCTGGAGGAGTTGCAGGTCCTAGATATCAAGTTTCTGTATGGATGCGCGAAGCCAACAATCGCAGTACTCTATCAGGTTAACATACGTATTTCATGGATTTGCTATAGAAAGATTTTTTTTGTTGTAAATCATATATATTTGTTTCTCCCATTTATGAACCTAATTCTGTTAGTAATAATGGTCAAAGGAATGCGTTTCTTCTCTTTTACCCGCTCTGTTGATTAGCTGGTGAAAATTGAGCAAATTAGCTCTGCTGTATTTCTAGTTGTATTTTTTCTCGTAACTTGGTTATTTTACTAATGCAATGTGATGTATGCTGGGTAAACTAATTGATACTTGGGATTACAGGACAACAAAGATGCTCGGCATCTTAAAACATATGAAGTTTTTACAAAGGATAAGGATAAGGAAAAGGACTTTGTTGAAGGGCCATGGTCACAGAACAATCTTGACAATGGTGCTGACCTATTGATCCCTGTACCTTCACCTCTGTGTGGCGTTCTTATCATTGGAGAAGAAACAATTGTCTATTGTAGTGCCAATGCATTCAAAGCAATACCAATAAGATCGGTAAGCCTTTTTTTGTGACATCATGCCATATACAACATTTGCATAACCTTTCAATGAAAACCCCTTCTGATTTTCAAGTTTTGTAAGTGAATTTCAATTTTTATGTCCAGTCCATCACAAAAGCATACGGAAAAGTTGATGTTGATGGCTCTAGGTATCTTCTTGGTGACCATTCCGGACTGATGCACCTCCTTGTTATAAGCCACGAGAAAGAAAAGTGAGTTGATATTACAAAGCTTTATTGAACCGAATTATAATATCGATATACTGACTTAATTATTTTTCTTAAGGGTCACTGGCCTCAAAATTGAGCTTTTGGGTGAAACCTCTATTGCATCTACCATCTCCTATCTTGACAATGCCGTCGTCTTTGTCGGCTCAAGCTTTGGAGACTCACAGGTAATAGGTCTTTTAAATATATATATTTTTTTAAAAACGTAGAAGTATATAGTTTTTGAATTACCACTATCCTGGTTATTTGTGTCGGATGGTTATTTTCTCTTAGTTGTAGTATAAATACTATACACTTGAGCATTGGTGTATCTGAACGTTTTCATTTTTGTAATTGCAGCTTATAAAATTAAACATGCAGCCGGATGCAGAAGGTTCATATGTAGAAATTTTAGAACAGTATGTCAACTTGGGGCCTATAGTCGACTTTTGTGTAGTTGACCTTGAGAGACAGGGGCAAGGCCAGGTTGTGACTTGCTCTGGAGCATATAAGGATGGTTCTCTTCGAATAGTTCGCAATGGGATAGGAATAAACGAACAGGTTTGAGTTCTATCTGAGCATTTTGTCTCAAATGTCATATCTGAGCATTTTTTCTCATTCGCTGTAATATAATATGAGACTGCTGTGTTACAGGCGTCCGTGGAACTTCAAGGTATCAAAGGAATGTGGTCGTTGAAATCTTCAATTGATGAAGCGTTTGATACATTCCTTGTAGTTAGTTTTATCAGTGAAACTCGTATATTAGCCATGAATATAGAGGATGAACTGGAAGAAACAGAGATTGAGGGTTTCTTGTCTCAAGTCCAGACTTTATTTTGCCACGATGCTGTCTACAACCAACTTGTACAGGTATTTTTCCACTGCTTATTCATTAGTTTCTATGCCTTTCCATGTAGTTGATCTCACAAGGTGATAAGTATCTCTCCCGATTATCAACATGAGGTCTGTTTTCTTTGGATTTCACTGCATTATAATGTGTGAAGTATTTAGGGTTAAACTTTATTTGGGGTTCGGTTGTCATTTTTAGGCTTTTCGGGTCTTCCATAGCGAATCAAATGTAGCTGTGCTTCTGATATAGTTTCTTGTCATTTAATAGTTGTTTACATATTGTTTCTTGTCTGCTATAGTGTTCTCTCCTATATTTTTTCTCGAGGATGAACTAACTACTGTCTTTTCTTAATCAGGTTACTTCAAATTCTGTTAGATTAGTAAGTTCTACTACTAGAGCATTGCGGAATAAATGGGATGCCCCAGCTGGATTTACTATTAATGTTGCAACTGCAAATGCCAGCCAGGTGTGTCTTTTTTTCTTAAAAATTTGTATAGTGGATTTATTTGCAGCTGCTTTATATAAAACTTGGCCAAGAGAGAGAGTCGAAATTCTAAGAGTTCTTGACGATACAAGACATGCAATGTGATTTGGAATGATAATACTTGTCAGGTTCTTTTGGCGACTGGAGGTGGGCATTTGGTCTATATAGAAATTGGAGATGGGACATTGACGGAAGTCAAACATGCCCAGTTGGAGTACGAGGTCTCTTGTCTTGATATAAACCCCACTGGGGATGATCCTAATTACAGTCAGCTAGCTGCAGTGGGGATGTGGACAGATATAAGTGTGAGGATTTTTGTGCTGCCGGACTTGACTCTTATTACTAAAACGCAACTAGGAGGAGAGATCATTCCCCGATCTGTTCTTCTTTGTGCATTCGAAGGGGTATGGTTTTTTTCAAAATTTTGTGGAATGACCATCTTTATTGTTAATGCAGCCTCTGGTTGCCATACTAAGTAAAAGTGTTTTTGTCATTTGTCGCAGATATCTTACTTGCTTTGTGCTCTTGGAGACGGTCATCTCT